TAATATGTCATATATAAAACACCTGTTACCCGTATTTTAATATTGATACACGATTTCTTGTTTGCTATTAATTTTTTTAGTCTCAGCCCGTCTACTTGTTTTAGTGACCCCCCTCTTTTACAATTGCGATTCTTTGTATATTTTTTATGTCTGAACCGATAAATATTTCCTCGTTTAACGTATTGAACGCAGTATCAATTTCTTCACTAATACTATTCTTCATTGTACAATCCAATGACATTTCAGCCTTTTTTTTAACAAGAGTATTTCAAGTACGAGATTATATGAACCCTCGGGGGTGCCGATGTTTTTGAAGAAAAGCCCACTTGTAATTATGGGTTCGAATGGAGGGTCGCTGGATTCGAACCCGGGACCTTTACTTACAATGATGAGCGCCTTGTCAACGCCTAAACCGTTGCGGCCACCGACGCCCCTACGTTTGACGTATTGAACGCAGCATCAATTTCTTCGCCAATATTATTCTTCATTGTATAATCCAATGATATTTCAGCCTTTATGGGGCTGTAATCATACTATCTACCTTTGCCAGTAGTTCGTTGCACATGTTTCAGCAATTCGTCAAGTAGCACGAAGTGCCCAGAATCACCTATCCCAAGACCATTCTTTTTCTCATTAATAAGAATGACTCACAATTGGTTAAATGTAAATAAAAGTTCAAACAAAAAGTTCAATTTGAAGAGTTTTTTACCTGATTTACACACTCATTGACTTGTGAACATGTCACTAATGGAAAGAACGAATGTTTTTCGTGTGATATACCAGGTGAGCCTTTTTTTAAATAGGGGTTGAATTTTGGTCGTAAATCTAGTCGGTTTGGTGCTACCCTGCTCAGATTACGCCGTAGTGCGTTAAGTATGTTCCATTTAGCAGTGTGTCGTCAGGGATTGGCACCGGCCTCTAGTTTATCAAGAGCACGGCTGAGTGAGCCCCATTGTCTAGGCCGGCTCCCCTTCTTTCGCCACCACTTATTTATCATGGCTACAATAGAGTCCCAACAATTAGATATAACTTTTTTGTTTCATTTCCCGCCGCCCTTTGTGTTAATCCTGCTAACTCAAACTGTACATATCGGTCTACAAAAGCCGGCCGACAGCTATATTTAAACAAAAAATGCATCATTGGAGCTTTTGTACTTTTCCCCTCACTTTCTACCTCTCGCTGATAACGTAAATTTATGTCCTTGGGGGCAAAAGGGGAGAGATGACACAGTAACAGCGTTACTTGTAACCCCCATGTACCTTAATGCGGTATTGTTACAACTTTGATTCGGGATCCCTTTTCTAATTACAACGACTTCTAATGAACTAGATAACTGTTAAATAACCGCACAATCTATATTTACATTTTATCTTATAATTACGTTGTTATATCTTATCGATGCATAAACATTATTAGTCTACTTTTGACGACTCTGAAATTAGTTGTACGGGAGATTCTTAGCACCCTGTTTCATTTAAGGAACGCCCTTACACGAGGCCGTCTAAATTTGCAGCCATGATCATAACGAAATCCCAGAAAATCCCAAAAATGTAGTAAATATCGACAATCAGGTTAATAATTCACGTCCTTATTAGACTTAAATTAAACTAGAAGACCAAATCACAATTTGGTTTTCGCAACGCACTAGGAACCGCAGACTTTGCATTCAAGTACGGATGTCAACATCCGGTATTTCTATTAAATTCGAAAAGGCTTTCGATAAAATTCAACATAGGAAATGATAGAAAATCTTAAAAATACACAAATGGAAGTTAAGTAATCACTCGAAGAAGACTTAAAAAAAAGAAGAAACTTTATTGTCAAATTCACTAGTTTTCGTGGTCCGTTTGACCAATTAATATCTTTCAATTAATTAAGGTTTTTACTTGAGATAAAAAAGTCAGTGTCACGAGCGGGATTCGAACCCACGATCTTCGGCTAGATCCGCCGCTGCTATACCACTTGAGCTACCGTGGTTTCGACCGTTTACTCGGTGTACAATCGTTAATAAAAATGTTTCTATATGAGGCCGCGATTTGCTTACAATTGGAATAAAAGGGGAGTCGAAATGGGAAGTTAGTGGCATGGGCGATCGAAGTCACGGTAGCTCAAGTGGTAGAGCAGCGGCGAATTTAGCCGAAAGTCGTGTGTTCGAATCCCGTCCGAGACACAAATTTTTCATTTTGAAAAAATGGTGTATAATTAATTGAGTAATCAAAACTATTTGCGCCAAAGGTAAAGCTCATGGTTATCAATAAGTTACAATTAATTAAGGTTTTTAGTCGAGATAAAAAAGTCAATGGCACGAGCAGGATTCGAACCCACGATCTTCGGCTAGATACGCCGCTGCTCTACCACTTGAGCTATCGTGACCTCGATCCACTCGGACACCAACTTCCCATCTCAACCGCACCTTTTGAGTTTTCTCTCCTTTTTGCCATTTTTCAAATTCTCGGCGACAAATGAAATGGCCACGTAGAGCTTTAGTGAAGTATACTTTATTTTAATTCATTAAATTCACTAATTTCGTGGTCCGCTTGACCAATTAATATATTACAATTAATTAAGGTTTTTAGTTGAGATAAAAAGTGGTAGAGCAGCGGCGTATCTAGCCGAACATCGTGGGTTCGAATCCCTCTCGTGCCATTGACTTTTTTATCTCAACTAAAAACCTTAATTAATTGGTCAAGCGGACCACGAAATTAGTGGAGTTATCAATAAGACACATCACGGGCATAGAAATCAAAATAGATGATGTCACCTTACAGAGGGTCCAAAAGATGACATACTCTAAATAAATAAAAGCAAGGATAGAAAAGGCAAGGATGGTATTTGCTAAAATGAAAAGGGTATTATGCAGTTAATCTGGGATTAAGGATAAGGATTAGTGAAAGGCTACGTCTTCTCAACTTTGCTAATAGTGTTGAAGTTTGGACATTAGCAGAAGCCTCTGTAAAAAAGCTTGAGGCATACGAATATCAACATAAAATAATTTTCGAATAAAGCCTAATACCATATTTTTACAGTTCCTAATAAATAAATCGTTATACTGATATACGTAAGTACGTGAGTTTAACCCATGCTAAGCAGACTTCAATTTCTCTCGATTGTTCCAGCAAGCCGGATTATTGTTTCGATGATCCTGCAAAAATGATAAGCAGATTCACCGGCTGTGCAAGCAGTATTGGTTGCTGATTTCGATGAAACGTTTTTCTTAATCCAGAGAAGCGCATCTCCGCTTGACTGTTATTGCACCGTCGTGATGGTTTTTACTGAGTGTACTGCAGAACAATTCATCGGATTAACGCAACATAGGCATATCCAACAAACCATATTCTATCATTGGGCATGTAATTTCTTCTTTTTTATATATTTCATATTTTAGTTGGATTTATCAGATTCCAAAAAAGTTGCTACGTTGTATGCTAGACAAGATTGTTGTATCTTTCAGTAAATGTTTCATGGAACACAACCAAATCATTAATTTTTTCATTGAGCAAATCACTAGCAATGATATCGTTCTAGCTCTCTGATTTTTACTCCGCTTAATTTTTTTATATTGCTTTGATTTCTTAAATATTTGAGTGTAAAAGGACAGAACCAGAAATAAAAGATTCTCAGGCCAGTCGTTGGTCGAACAAGACACCCAAAATTTGCAGGTCTATCACAACTAATAAAATCCTTTTTATAATGTATAAATTAAGAAATATTGTCTTCTTTCTGTGTTATGACTTAGACCAGATTGGAACCCTCACCAAGACTTGCAAAATCACTGCTGCAACTGGAGAGGGCTAAACTCAGAGGAGTGATAGGACTACTAACCGGTCACTGGCATCTGAGAAAACATCGACACAACAGGGCATATACAACGACGATCCCATCTGCAGATTATGTAATGAGGAGGAGGATACAGTCATCCATATCATCTTCGAATGCGAAGCAACAGCTCAATGGAGATTCAACCTAACATACGAAAAACTTTGGAAATGAAATGGTAGTAGCGACAGTCAATGATCTGATATTTCTAAGGAGAAGGATAGAGTCCCCTGCACTGAACTAAGGAACTAGGAAGGTACTATAAGCCAGAAGGCTGCAGTGCCTGGGGAGTACAAACCCTGCTTCTTAGTAACCTTATCACCATACCATACCATGCCATAGACCAGATTCGAAAAAAATTGTAGCTAGAAAAAAAAAAGCTAGTATAATAATTTTAACCAAATGTGTAGTATTTAGTTACCGTTAATTAATGCTTATTTATATATAAATCGAAAGGTACGGTCTGGTGTGATGTAGGTTGTAGAAAAACATTTTCTTTATAGTGCCAACAACGTTTCGATCTATATTGAGATCATCTTCAGAGCCTAGGATTTACAAACATTTATTATATCAAAAAATGGTATTCCGATGATTTGATCAATTTTCTACCAAACCATTCAAATTAATTTTTTTTAAATAAAAACTAATGAATTTTTGATCTCGGTTAATTTGGTTTATATTAAAAGAAGTATGTTGTAATTAATATAACGACAATAATACATGTAGTTTGAAATAAAACCATGCGTGTCCGGTTCTTTTTTTTCGATTGTACTCGATCATACCCGACGAAAATCTGGACAGTGGGGATGGCAGAGCGCAGAGTAGGGTTGCGTTGCATAGCATCGGGCAGATGTGCACGGGGGTAATACAATGTTATTGAAAAATGGACTTGGGATTTGTGCCAGGTAGCATCGGGTAGCATCGCATGGCGTTGCTCGGGTGTGTTCCCGGCTTAAAAGTAATTCGTGGATTATAACCCTAGCCCTTCTAGGAAACGATGCTTTACCTAACCCAATTCAGGCCATTTCTCGGCAGGTAAATATAAATTTTTGTATACAGCGAAAAAACCTATCTATGTTAAAAAAATTAAAGGACTCATTTTGGGCTTAAATCACAAAAGAAAATAATAGATGTTGACAAACATTGTTCATGAGAAAAAAAATTAAGTATAATAAAAAAGGGAGTACTAGTAATAAAGAAGACTTTATAAGGTATTAACCAAAATATTTTGCTTATTTTTGACATTTTAAATAAATATCATTGACAGATATTTTAAATATTTCGTGTCGGTAGAAATTAAAAAAGGGGATATGGAATTCCTCTTGGAAGGGATCTCAGAAGAGATTCTAGTCTCTGCATCCTCGCGACGGTGGCGTAGTTGAGTTTTTTCAAATCGATGAGTTCTTCAGTCAGCTGGCGATTCACCCTCGCCGTTTTGGCAGCGAATGACGCCAATTCGCACTGCATCCTGCCCAAGCTGTTCTGAAGTGCTTTTTCCCTTGTGTCAATAGGCGTTATATCGACCCAGGGGCATTTTGGTACATCAAGCGAAGGGTATTCGGTTGTTGTGGTGGTCGTTGTTGTAGTCGGTTCTGTCGACGTCATCGTCGTCGTGGTGCTGGCTGTTGTGGAATTATCATTTTCCTCCAATTCCGGTTCTTTGTTCATTTTAGGTTTTTTCGTCGTAGGCTCTTTCTCTTTTTTCGGACTTTCCTCTTCCGGTTGTTCCTCTTCGGGGCATCTCGGCGGTTGTTCGACCTGCGGTGGGGAAAACGATTCCGGTAAGTCCTCTGAAAAAAATCAAATCGAAACATTATAAAGCCAGGGTTTTCAAAACCTGCTGGATCTTACGAGGGACGATCCATTCGGCGTCTTCGTTTATCGGATATTGACGACCTCTGTTCGTAACGGATCCTCCGTATAAAAGGCGATCGCCAGGGTTGAGAGAAAGCAGTGGGTCTTCGAAAACCCAATGGTTAGCCATTTTAGAAGTCACATTTCCACCTTTCCAATCCTCATCTTTGTTCTTTTTGCACTTGAATTCGAAATTTTCGACACCGCAGTCATCTGAAACATAGAAAGTATGGTTTTGTTTGTAAAAACTTGTCAATTCCATTTAGATTTGCTTCGTTCCACGTAAAACTCGCCCAGATAAAGCGCTGCCTTTTCCGATAGAACTGTCGTAACAGCAAGAAAACTGCTGTACGCTCAAAAAGCAATAAAATTGGACGATAAATCACGTTTATTTGATATACTCCAGATGTATTTATTTAACCGTAAAGTTCCGTGTAATGAGCATCCTGACATTTGACAAAATGAGCATGTGACAAAATTAAATTCATTTTTTTAAAAGCGTTTTGAAAAGAAGGTAAATAAGGAAAGAAAATTAATTAAATTTTCCGAACCAAAAGCTTATTCACAATCATGGCCCGTTAAAGTTAAACGTTAAAGTTGAAAAAATAGATATTTTAAAGCTTTCGTTTTCTTATATTTCATCTTTATTAGGATAATACAGCCCTGTATATCAGTTGATAATTACTCGGATTCTGAAATATGATTAAACTAGGTTTTTAGTTTAATCCTATTAAAAGCTAGACGGTTTGAGTTATGCAAGGATATAACTACAAATAATTTATACTAATTAGAGTTGGACTAAGAATAATGCGAAACACCGGATACTTACATGCATCATTTTAATCTTTATAAACAATATTTTCGAATTTTTGTTGCGTTAAATAAAGTTAAGAAACTTTAAAAAAAATTAATCATGCGAAATAAAATTAGTGTTTTAGTTCTTGTATCTTTCAAAGGAGCGAAGCACAGACAGACACTAAAGTTGCTCAACGAAAAACGTAAAAACATATAAAATAAAACACTATCTTAGAATTTTGGTAGGCCTAGATTTGTATCACCGTTGTTTTTGATGCATGAGTATAATTCATTCCAGTATAAGGTCAAGGGTTAACGCTGGGGTGTTTGTTAGGGGATGGAAGAGGGTGGACAAGCCGACCCTGTTGCTACCCGGGTAATCGACTTTAGAAGGGCGAAGCCGGGGACATTAATTAGTTTAAACCACACATCATTAGTTCGTTTGAATTTAGATGGATTGTATTTGAATTCAAAGCGATTTCAAAAGGAATTACTTTAATGAAGTAGAGTAACCATAATTTAAGCGGTACAAAAAACAGAATGCTTTATACAATAGTTCATTAACAGTTAGACAGCATAATAGAGAAATTTCGGCACAATAGTTAATAGAGAAATATTCAGACAAAATTTTACGAAAGTTCAAAAACTTTTAAAATCCTATTTTCGAGAATGTTGTTTAGATATTTATTTGATTAATATAATTAATATACTTACACCCGATAGTAAATTTGAAATTCATGTGCTTGTCTTTTAAAACACTATAGCTGTGTGTATTTTGATTTTGTTTTAGGCTCGTTATCTTAGCTCTTAGATTCAAAACCTTCACTCTATCTGTTTATGTACTTCTTTCTATATATACCTCTATATCTACCTTTTTCTTTTTTATTCGGAGATTGTGAGATGTGGTCTGGTGTGACGTAGGTTTTAGAAAAATATTTTCTTTATCGCGCCATCGTTTCGATCTTTATTGAAATCATCTTCAGGCCCTGGGATTTACAGTGTTTGGACTATACAAATGCATGTATGATGTGAAAACGAATTTATACAATGATGTACGCAATATAGTAAATTTAGGATTATTCCAAATATTTGTACTCAATCAAAGTTTGTCAGTATAGAAAACAAATGCTTTGAATAAACCTAAAATTTCCATATTGCTAATATCATTGTATAAATTCATTTTTTCACATCCTACATGTATTTGGAAAATTTAAACAATGTTTATAAATCCCAGACCCTGAAGATGATCTCAATAAAGATCGAAACGTTGGCACGATAAAGAAAATGTTTTTCTAAAACCCACATCACACCAGACCGCATCTCACGATCTCAAAATAATTTAAACAATGTTTATAAATCCCAGGCCCTGAAGATGATCTCAATAAAAATCGAAACGTTGGCACGATAAAGAAAATGTTTTTCTAAAACCTACGTCACACCAGATCGCATCTCACGATCTCCGAATAATCATTGACTAACGGTCTCTAAACACTACACTTTTTCTTTTTCTTGTTCTGTCTATCTGTTTATCTATCTCCACCGCTCACCCTTTCCCACATTTTAGTTTGTATTTCAATTTATTTATCCCCACAACTCACATCTTTTCTTTCTTAATCTATTTATTTACTTACCAATCTTTCTTTATCTTTCCCTCTCCGCTCTTTCTGCACATATTTTCTCCTTCTTTCTGTCTCTCTCCTCTCCTCGTCTCATTTTCTCTCTTTCTCTGTAATTTCTTTCTTAATCGATATATCTATTCTCCCACCCTCATTTCACTATCGGACTATTTATCTACTTCTTTCTCTCTTTATCTATTAATTCATCTCTTTCTTTTTATCTCTCTCTTGCTATATATATTTATCCATATTTTTCTCTCCTTTATTCTTTCTGTAGTTATTTAGGTATCCTCTCTGTCTCTCTCTTTTTCTTCCTCCTCTCATTTTTTAAACCTCTTTATCAACTTCTGATGAATTATTTTCTTTGGTGATTGATCAGCCTTCTCAGTTTAAATATTTTTCTTTCCATAAGGTGCATTCCTGGCCTCATCCCCAATCTACCTTTTGTAAAGAAAAATATTTATCAACTTCTCTTTTTCTGTCTTCATATATTTTTCTATTTCTTTTTCTATGTTTTTTCTCTTTCTCTCCTTCTACTGTTTTTTATATATTTATCAACCTCTCTCTTTCTCCCTCTCTCTTAATTTACCGCCTTTTCTCTTTCTCATTCTCTTTATAATTTTTTTCTCAATCTATTTAACTATTCTCACACATTCTCCTTTCTTCTCGATCTACTTATCTGACTCTTTCTTTATCTATTAAATTATCTCTTTTTTTCTCTATATAATTACCAACCTCTCTCCCCCACCCTCCCTTCCTCTCACTCTCTCTCTCTTTCTCTCTCTCTCTCTGTCTCTATCTCTTCCTATCTACATATATATTGTACATTATATTTACAAAAATCTTAGTTTATTATGTGCAATTTTGTTTTTATATAATTTTTTCTCTGTACAAAATACCCCTTGATATATTCTTTCACTAATTCACTTGTTAAATGGTTATTATATAATTACATTTTTTTCAGTTTAAATTTTTTTTATGTATCTACTTCAAGATTTTATATTTATTCTTATTCTTATTTTATTTTTTGTAAGTTGAAATCTTTGAAATTGTTCATGACACAATTAAGTTTGGTCAGATAGATTGTATATTACACACTACATGGTAAATTTAGTAAAACTGATTAAAGCTAAAAATATGTATGTTTAATAATAATTTTGTCTATTTTTTGTGTATTTATTTTTCTTTCTAAAACCAAACTTGTTGATTGTAAGAATGGTCAATATGACCTAAATCTGCGAGTATGATAAATAAAGCGCTTCAATTCATATTTCTGTCTCAGCTATATTGGTTAACTTATATTTCTGTAATTAAAACAATTTGCGTCTTTCTTATGTGTTTCTAAAATTAACCTGCATTACCTATTAATAATTAGGATTCTAATCTATCTTATTTAAATCAGAAATTTGTATGCAGATTAATTGTTAGATTGCATCAAAGGGCAGCAGGTTCTATTTCTAGATACATAATTTGCTTATAAACTGGAATTAAGAAAGAATCAGTCGGTCGATGACTTTTAATAGTCACCTAAACCAACTTGAGACGGATGGAGATGCCATGTCGACACGATCCGCCGTCAGACTTAATGAATTCCGCGAAAAACATGAAATTTTTAAGATAAAATCAGGAGACGATGATTGTTTTAAATGGAAAATCAATTTTTCGAGAGGTGCTGAACCTCGTACGAAAGGAGACCCTCAGGAAAGTAGTCTTGAAACATTAGTGTAAATATAATCTTGTGAAGAATGTTTTTATAAGCGAAAAAACTGTCTTACTGATTAATAATTAGGCAGGGTATGTGGCATGTGAAAAACACAATAATTACCATCTAATCAAACTTAAGGTGAAAATGGAATCTGTAAAAATCCCAATATGCTGATGCTGCTACGTAAAGTAATGCGTCTGACAGAGCCACTCAGCGGACAGGATAGGCAGACCAAATTGAACAGTAACGACCAAATTTCAGGTTTATCACCGCGTAGACAACATGGAGAAATCTCAAAATAAAATGTTAATATTAATTTACGTTTGTTTTGAAATGTTGATTGAGCACCATTTTGTTGTCGTAAAGTACAATAAATCAATATTATTCAAATTAATCTGTCTACAAGTTTAAAGGGAAACTGATTGATTGCCGTGCTCTAAATACGATTACAGAATTTCTTGACGTTGATAAGTTTTCGTGAATGTTGTGCAAATTGATGGTAAGTTTGAATAGGTTTATTTAATAGAGTTAATGGAGGATTCATTGAACAACAAAGAAATAACAATAAGAACTGATAAAATATGCTGCAGATGGATAGAATCAATGCTAAAAAGCAGAGTAGTGCAGGCCTCCGTTTTCCACGAAAAGGTAAAAGCAGTGGTGGCGAGAGGATGTCCGCAAGGAGGAATACTTTCGCCGCTGTTGTGGAATGTGGTAGATGACCTCATACGCAAACTAAATGAAAAGGAATCTATACCCAAGGCTATGCAGATGACATTGTTATACCAGTCAGGGTACACAAGACAAATTCAGCTATCTTTTCGGCAATACAGAAAAATGATTTCTTACCAACCCAGCAGCTGCAAACTAGTAACTCCTCGAGAAATAAAAGCGATAATAAAGAAAAGGCAGACAAAAAAGTCACCTGGAATGGACAAAATAAGAAATACCATGCTCAAAAACATGCTACTTAGAGCCATTGACTTACATCTTTAACAAGCTACTGATTTATGGGTGCTTCCCTGAAAGATGGAAAACTGCTCGAGTCATAATGTTACATAAAGTTGGTAAAAAACCCCATCAAGTTACCGACCCAT